GGGAGATATTGCCCAAATTAAAATGTGAGTTTTAATGTCACCTTGCATTGATTTATTCTGGCAGGTGTTTTTTTTGGGGGGGGGGGCAAGATACGCGAGTGTATTATTAAATCGTTAAAATTGAACATGAGAGAAAAATACGATGTCGATTTATGCACGATTTGAGAAAGGAAAAGGGAAAGATAGAGAAAAAAAAAACAAAGATTATCGCAAAAATCAAGTAAATCTATTCTCAGTCTCGATTCTCGCAAGAATCGATGCACGTATGTTAGTAGATTTGCGAGCGAACAGGTCACGACTATCGTGTTCACATTAAACTCTCGTTATTAAAATGCTCGACCGAACTTTACGCCATTTCTTTTCGATTCCGACTATCTCAATGTGGCGCATCGTTTTTTTGGATACTCGGGCATGCCGTTATCCAACCGCGCATTGCCGTGCGCGAACTAAATATTTTCTCGCATCTATCATACTTTAGCGCCAAGCAGATTCCGCCACGCGCATAGACGAACAAATCGAATGTATCAGCTTGTGCGGTTAGCTATTTGTCATTTCATTACAATAGCCGTAAGAAAGAGGAAGATAGAGGAAGGGAGAGGAAGAGAAAGAGGGGGAGAAAGAGAGAGAGAGAGAGAGAGAGAGGGCAGAAAAGATGAGCGAGGAGATATACTCGCTCGGCGCTACTTCGATGATTTATCAAGGCAGCCTATGCATTATCGTAGTGGACGGAAAGCGTGGCGGGCGAGTATGAACAGCACGTAATCGTAGTTTCATCGTGTCCGTTCCGTCATCATCGCGAAATACTCAGCGTACATGGCTGCAAAACGATAACATTATTCCTGGAATGGTGGTTGTTGATACGCTGGCCGTCGAGGATGTCCACCGCCGATTCGCCGCGAGACCGCTCCGACGATACCGTCCCGTCAGGTGAAACGAGCGTTACACTGTTATTTCAACTTTCAACGCTTGCGGCCGGCTGATAGAGGATACACCATGATGATGTACATCCGATATACCTTTCGGTTCGAATATTCCGTCGCAGAAAATGTCCGGTGGAAAAACGCCGTGTCGAACGCGCGTATGCGTTTCGCGTCGCGTCGGTGGATGGACGCGCGCTGTTTTCGGTCGACGACTCGTGCACGAGCGTATCCCTTCACCCGCTTCATTCTCGTGCGCAAACGCCGCGATTCCGAACATCAACATGTTTGCTTCATATCTTCGTAATAATCGATATTAAAATTTCATTTGTCGCGTCGCGACGTAATCGGCGTCGCGCACTGCGCTTCTCTAAACGGGAAATTATGCGATTCGCATTATTAGCCTTACACGTAACTCATAAAGTTGAGAGTCGTATAAATAACTCGGATTGCAATGATAGGGTTATAATGGCTCTAATTATAATTGATTCTGAGATAGAGATAAAGATAGTCTGATTTTATGTGTATATATAAGATTGAAAATCGTATTACTTTCGATCTACAGAATAGTACAGCATATATAACGTCGAATATTCCATGAGTTTGTCAGATATGTCGATTATCTGTCGGATGGAGGACATTTCTAAGGTCGCTGACATTTTCTCCGGGCACTAGAAATGTTCTATTTGACAATCAATCGGCACGTCCGACAATACTGGTCGCACAACAAATGAGATGTTGGGGAAAACTCGTTTAAAATTACGTTAAGCAAAGATTTTATTTGTCGCGCGAATATTATCGGATGTGCCGATTGGACGTTGGATAAAGCATTTCTAAGATTCTTAACATTTTGTCTGAGTACTCTGGAAATTTTCTATCCGATAACTAATCGACACGCCCGACAAACTCGCCGTACGACAAGTGAAATTTCAGCTTTAATAAACAATACAACAGCGTCTAAGCGAAAATCTTGAATGTGAGGGACCACTCGCGCGTGTTTGTTTACGTTAATTTGAGAAAAATGTTTATTAGGAATAAAGCAATTTTAAATTTTGCACGTTCCCTTTTCATTTTAAAGATATTATAAAGCACAGTTTTGTATTTTCAGTGGTGCATCAAAGAGGCTGTTCATAAATTGATTGGCAAACTTATCAGGTTGTTGCAGATAAAGTAGCGTTTTTGAATGTAGAATTTAAATTTTTATTCGATATACTTTATATACACTTTGTCAGTCGAAATAATCTCCATCCAGCCCAATACACTTCCCCCAACGTGATGCAAGCGCATCAATGCCTTTCACGTAGAAATTGGAAGAACGAGATGCAAGAAATTCACTGGACGCACTTTTCATGTCACTTCCTGCTTGAAATACTACTTCATTCAAGAAGCTATGCAGATACTTAAAGAAATGGTAATCTATTGGAGAATTGTCAGGAGAATAAAGAGAATGAGGAAGAACTTCGCATTTGTATTCTACTAATTCTTTCCTACAGTTTATTTTACAAAATGCCGTCTAGTATTATCATAGTAATAACATACCGCTATTTAATAACGCCGGCTGTTTAATACGCATTTTCCCCGTCGCAACCGTCAATTTCCTAACAATACTTGTCAATATTTATAGTTCCACTCTTTTTCAATATTTATAGTTCCACTCTTTTTCAAAAATGAAAAATATATAATATCTTTAGCACCGTGCATACACCGAAACCTTACGTGGACGAAGGCTTGGTTACGGCATGTGTTTCGGAGCTTCGGAGTTTCAGAGCTTTACCGGTTATTAACCAAGAAAAAATAGACCGGCCAATAAAAATCTACTCGCGGCTTTTGTAGCGACTATTTAGATTATTTTGAGAAAATACAAATATTTAGCGTGTGTAATGACGTACGCATCGGATTATTCTCTGGACAAACATCCGCAATGAATTATCCGTAAAAGTTTAGTAATTATCAAGCAAACCTACGTTTCTATATATTTATTTAATCTATTTAAATAATAAACGTTAATCTAAAACGAAATTGCAATAAATAAATAAATAAATAAATAAATAAAATATTTATTTATTTATTTATTTATATATATTATATATATATATATATATATAGGGTGTCCCAGACAACGAGAAGATACTTTTCTCAAGCGCATCGTAAGCAGTATCGCGAAGCCGACATTAATATCCCGGGATCATAGGGAAATGCTCGCGGGAGTATCTCG